GTACAATCCATAATCCGAGATAATGGTGTAACATCACTACAAAAAGCTATGAAAATCAGTTCAAAGGGTTGATTAAACAGAACGGCACTAATTAACACACACCCATTACCCAACAACAACAAAAGACAACGCAAGGCATAGATCTTAAAGTACTCTAGATTACTGAAAAATGTTTCAAAGTCAATTGAAACTCATAAAAAAAATCACTATTATATGTATTTGAAGGGCACATGTCATTAAGACCTTGTAAAATACAAGTAACATACGTATCGTACATGTAGTATAGTCATACATGTTAAGTTATGTTTTAATTTATTTATACAAAATATCAATGTAAGTACTGACGAACACAAAAGTCAAAAAACTTACTACATGTACAGTGGTAAATTGATACATAAGTTTTGTCAACGAATTTATAAGTATTCATGGATCATATGTTAATTTGCCGAACTTATTTACAGAATCACAATAAAAATAAGAATGCAATATTTCGTTTTAAATAAGATCTTCACGTTAAGCTACATTTGAAACCCATTTTTTTCTATAAAAAAGAAACAGGTTTTAAGCTACTTGTGGTGTCGGAATCCCTGACTTCATGATTTACCAACTATACATGGTTCACGCTAATTGAAAACTAAAACGTCACTAGGGAGAATTCTTATCACTTCGATTAGGGACCTTCCTTTTTGAATTTTTCTCGGTGTTTAGTATTTTTGTGATTTTACTTTTCTCGACACTGGTTAAATCGGCACCTGGTCAAATCGGCACATGTGATTGTTATTTCAGCACCTAGTCAAATCAGGCCCTCGTTAATTCGACACCAGGGGTCTGTTGTTCAACTTGGCGTTAAACTAATCATATGATTAATTTTAACGAGTCGTTAAAAGTGAATCGCATGACTAGTAAATAATCTTTTACAAAAATCTTCTTCTCTGAAACTACTGAGACAAATTTAACCATACTTGGCCATACTCATTATCAGGGTATCTAGTTTAAAAAATTTGTCCGATGACCCCGCCTTCCAACCATCATGGCCGACTTGGTTAATAATAGAACATAGGAGTAAAATGCAGTTTTTGGTTTATATCTCTGAAACTAAAGCATTTAGAGCAAATCTGACAGGTGGCAAAAATGTTGATCAGATTTAGATTTATCTGCCCTGAAATTTTCAGACGAATCTGACAACCCGTTGTTGGGTTGCTGCCCCTGAGTTAGTAATTTTACACAAATTTTGCAGTTTTTTGTTATTATCTTAGATATCATTATAATATCTAATATCTAATACTATTAATTATGATTTAACCTTATTTTACATGATTTCCAAAGCATCAGTAAATACAGGTGAGCGACACAGGCTCTTGAGAGAGCCTCTAGTTTCAATAAATTGTTTAATTTCAAGACCTATAAACCTATAATCAGATAGTGATGATACAAAGGGAATACTAAGTGTTTCAACAAGCTTTGTCTTTTAATATTCATATTGTATTTGAATAAAAAAGGTAACTTTTACAATGTAATGTTTATCATGTTTATTGTTTTTTCTCTTTTTTATGTTTTAGACAAATTTGAAGACCAACTTAGAATGCAATTTATGTGTAAGAAATGGAGGATAAAGGTATGCCTTAAATTTTAAACCAAATAATATCAACATTAAAATTGGTGGCTTGCAGTCTGTACCCTAGACTGCATAACAATAAAGGGGCATTCCGTTGACAAGGTATTAATTTTGACATTAAACTGAAGCTTAGAATTTAAGTTCATTTTCATGATTATGATGTCAACTTCAAAATTGTATATCAGATTGCACTTTTGACAGATTTAACAGTCCCCTGGACAATTAAATTTATATTGTACATGTGTTGTATGAAGGCATTTTGTATTAAAGACACATAATTAGAATCCTAAGAGCTAAATTAAGACATTTTGTTTGATGAGAACTCAGTGGCTGAGTATTCACAGCTATTGTATCTCAAGCCTGTCATCACTAAGGTTTTGAGTCAAATGGGTCCCTTGACCATCAAATTGGGAATTTTCATCCCAATTGGGAATTTTTTATGCATAAAATCTGAGACGAAATAACATTATATTCCTGTAAAAACTGAAACTGTATATTAAGTTTCACCTTTACACTGCTGTAATTAGTTGTAACATTTTGAATAATCCTGGAAGGGATACTGATAAAAATGATATATATGATTACCAGATCGCTTGACAGTTATTGGATTGAGACCAGGGAAGTTGTTACATGAATATCATTGCACATGATGCACAATATTTTGTAGGCTTGCATCTAAGCTATGGTAACCTCGATCTTTTACATATATAACAGCTAACATTAACCACTGAAACAAATCATCCATTGGGTATTTTTTTCTACAACAGGTCATCTTTATAAATTTACCTCGATACAAATGGATTTCAAATTGAACTGACCAATTATCGAATTTAGAAAAGCAATTATAAAAGTTTAAGTACTTAATTGATAAGATATTTTTTTGTGATTTTTGCTTGCTGTTTAATATGTAGAAGGTTGCCATAGTTTTTACTTTAGGTGTAACCATAAGAACATGAAGAAACAGGAAATTAAAGCATTGAACCATTGTATTTTATTATTATTTAGATCATCTTCACAACTTTTGAAACATTTCCATAATGTTGACATTGATCCTATTTCATGAATAATCTATCATCCACATGCATCTTCAAACACGCTCAAACTTTCGTCTTTTCGGGAAATAGAGCCTGACTAAATATAAAATAATTTCTTTTACAAAACAAGTTTTCATCATATTATATAACCAGCTCTGCTGGGCTATCTGCTTTTACGAGATCAGCGCCCCATGATTAAAATTTGTTCATCAATGTTATAGCAAAACTCTGCCGAGGTCTGCTTTAATGAGACCCATTTTGACAAAAAAAAACATCTTTTTTATTGACTTACTGGGCGATCTGCTTTTAAGAGATCAAAAACACCCATAAAATTTACATCACTATTGAATCCGGCTGCTAAAATCGTTTACCATACGATCGTTGACAGCATTCTTATCTGGATTTTAAAACGTTTTGACGACAAACTATCAAAAATTATAGTTGCCTAAATCGGTGACGGAAATATCGATTTTTATTTATTTTTTCTGAATTGGGAATTTATATTCACATACATTTTGTTGGGGCCCTAAACTATATAGTAGAATCATCCCAGTAAAAACAGAAGAGTTTTCACTAAAACAAGATTATTGATAGAAGTTTGATACTCTAAATCACCATTTAGTTAAAAAAAAAATTAAAACAACTCCTTTTCTAATCACAACAATTCTTTTAATGTTAACGTCACCTCTGTCATTGTCTTGACTTCATGAATGTCTAATGCAAATAACTACACAATGTTACATGAAATATTTGCTTATTGTTTTGATTAAAAGATGTTCGGAAAACATTAATGAAAAAGTTCTAAAACAGGTTCTAAAACAGGATAACAAAAAACATAGGGCAACATCTATGTCTTACAATTGAAAAGTGTTTCAAATATGGTTGAGATTTATTATTCAAAGTGTGGTCCTGTTTGTGTACACTTTAATTAGGGTTAAGATTTTTTTAAAGTAAATATTTACTATAATTCATTGCAAGTCTTATTATAACCCCACTTTTTAAAGTGGAGGTATATAGTGATGGGGACGTCAGTCCTTCCGTTCGTCCCTCCCGCACAATGTTTCACTTTGTATCCACAACTCCTCCTTAACCACTTATCAGAATGAAATGAAACTTTTTCAGATTCTTAATCATATAATGTCTTTGTGCACCTCCTAATTGGTTTTTGGTGAAATTGATTTTTAGGGTTTCCAATACCAAAACATGAACTTTGCTAGGAGCAGGGGTATAATTTTGTGAGCTCTGATCACAGTACCTCTAGTTTTGAAAGAAAAATGTTAATTAACTGCAACTATTTAATTTGAGAACGAGTGAAAATGAAGAGGATGAGAATATTTCAAATGAATCTGGGTAAGTCAAACTAACTTTAAAATTACCTAATGTTGAAATTGAGGCTATTTCAAATATATCTTCTATGAGTTATTTTTCTTAATATACTTTACAGAGGTGATTGTCCATACAAATTTAACTTTCATAAACATTTGAAGTTGACACTTTGGGTTAAAAGATTGGTCTTTTAAGACTATTCAGAAGTCATTTTCCTTAGAAATCTTGAAGGTAGATATAAAAATGTAGGACTCTTCTTTTTTTTTTAGTTCGATTGGAACGCTTAAATTTGATGATAATACTAATAACTAAAGGGTGAAAGTTCAATGCCTCTGTATGCTAAAGTGCTATGATATGCAAAAGTATAGATGTAAGCAACTTGTCATTTTATTATAACATGAACTTCTTTTTTTATAAACAATAAGGGACATTCCAAATTAACATGATTAAGGACTAATGTTTTATCCATTGTTTTTATTAAACATTGAGCGTAAATTATTTAAATGCAAAAGTAAAAAGTATTACATTTGTAGATCTAATAGAGGAAATGGTGCTCCAACAAATGGAAGTGGGAGAAAATGGAAAAAAGACGATGTGAATCGTAAGTATTGTTTTTATGTTTCTAATACAAAAGAATCATCTAACAAAAATGAAAAAAAAGAAGTACATTGAAGTGTAGATTGATTAAAGGTTGTCTTCAAAACAATGGTCACTTTATTTATGTTTTAAAAGAATGTAAAGACTTCTTTTTTTTAACTCATCACTGTTTCTGTAACCTTTGGTTCCATTGAAATTTAATATTAATCTCTTGAGAGTAACTTTAAAAATTACCTGTTTAGGTAATTAAACAAATATATGACTTGTTTAGATAACCCATGGCTGATAAAAATGTTGACTTGATCATATGTTGATTGAGGTCCTCGTGGTAAATTCTATCATGAGAGTTTCAGTCAAATCGGTGAACATGAATTTGACAGCTAGTGCCCCAGTCTAAACATATTTTATTTGTTTAATATACAAAAGGGATGCGACCCAAGTTAAAACAAATTGATGAAGTCGTCTCCATAAGAAAATACCTGTTTAGATAATTAAAATAAAATATAACTTGTTTAGGTAACCACTGGCTGATTAAAATGTTGACTTCATCCTGCTCATAATTAACATCAAATAATTTACAAGTACTTAACAATATTTGTACGGTGAAGGAAAATAAAGAATTTATTAAATGAAATAATTTTGAAGGAAAGTGTAGTAATTGCATATATTTAATTTTAGACCACATGACAATGATGACAAAGAAGATGAAGAGCAGCATCCTTTAAATAAATTGGGGTAAGTCGTGATACTTAAATGCAATTAATAAATATCTGGTATTGGGGAAATGATTTAAACCTTTTAATAAAGAAGCACTTTGAAGTGTAGATTGATTAAAGTGTGTTCTTTAAAACAATGGTCACTTTATTTATGTTTTAAAAGAATGTAAAGACTTTTTTTTTAAAACTCATCACTGTTTCTGTAACCTTTGTTTACATTGACATTTAAAATTATTCTCTTGAGAGTAACTTTTCTAAAAAATTACCTCTTTAGGTAATTAAACAAATATATGACTTGTTTAGGGCACCCTTGGCTGATAAAAATGTTGACTTGATCATGTGTTGATTGAGGTCCTCGTAGTAAATTTTATTATGAGAGTTTCAGTCAAATCAGTGAACATGAATTTGACAGCTAGTGCCCCAGTTGAAACATATTTTATTTGTTTGATATACAAAAGGGATGCGACCCAAGTTAAAATAAACTTATGAAGTTGTCTCCCAAAAAATACCTGTTTAGGTAATTAAAAAAAAATATAACTTGTTTAGGTAATCACTGGCTGATTAAAATGTTGACTTCATCCTGCTCATAGTTAACATCAAATAATTAACAAGTACTTAACAGTAGTTGTACAGTGAAGGAAAATAAAGAATTTATTAAATGACTACATTTTGAAGGAAAGTGTAGTAATTGCATATATTTAATTTTAGACCACATGACAATGATGACAAAGAAGATGAAGAGCAGCATCCTTTAAATGAATCGGGGTAAGTTGTGATACTTAAATGCAATTAATAAATATCTGGTATTAAGGAAATGATTTAAACCTTTTAAGAAAGAAGCACATTTAAAAATTACCTGTTTAGGTAATTAGAAAAATATATAACTTGTTTAGGTAACCCTTGGCTGATGAAAATGTTGACTTGATAATGTGTTGATCGAGGTACTCCTAGTAAATTTTATTATGAGAGTTTCAGTCAAATCGGTGAACATGAATTTGACAGCTAGTGCCCCAGTTTAAACATATTTTATTTGTTTGATATACAAAAGGGATGCGACCCAAGTTAAAATAAACTTATGAAGTTGTCTCCCAAAAAATACCTGTTTAGGTAATTAAAAAAAAAATATAACTTGTTTAGGTAATCACTGGCTGATTAAAATGTTGACTTCATCCTGCTCATAGTTAACATCAAATAATTTACAAGTACTTAACAATATTTGTACGGTGAAGGAAAGTAAAGAATTTATTAAATGACTTCATTTTGAAGGAAAGTGTAGTAATTGCATATATTTAATTTTAGACCACATGACAATGATGATAAAGAAGATGAAGAGCAGCATCCTTTAAATGAATCGGGGTAAGTCGTGATACTTAAATGCAATTAATAAATATCTGGTATTGGGGAAATGTTTTAAACCTTTTAATAAAGAAGCACTTTGAAGTGTAGATTGATTAAAGGTTGTCTTCAAAACAATGGTCACTTTATTTATGTTTTAAAAGAATGTAAAGACTTTTTTTTAAAACTCATCACTGTTTCTGTAACCTTTGTTTCAATTGAAATTTAAAATTATAATCTTGAGAGTAACTTTTCTACAAAATTACCTGTTTAGGTAATTAAACAAATATTTGACTTGTTTGGGGCACCCTTGGCTGATTAAAATGTTGACTTGGTCATGTGTTGATCGAGGTCCTCGTAGTAAATTTTATTATGAGAGTTTCAGTTAAATCGGTGAACATACATTTGACAGCTAGTGCCCAAGTTTAAACATATTTTATTTGTTTAATATACAAATTAAAAGGGATGAGACCCAAGTTAAAACAAACTTATGAAGTCGTCTCCCAAAAAGTACCTGTTTAGGTAATTGAACAAAAAAAAAACTTGTTTAGGTAACCACTGGCTGATTAAAATGTTGACTTCATCCTACTCATAGTTTACATCAAATAATTAACAAGTACTTAACAATATTTGTACGGTGAAGGAAAGTAAAGAATTTATTAAATGACTTCATTTTGAAGGAAAGTGTAGTAATTGCATATATTTAATTTTAGACCACATGACAATGATGGCAAAGAAGATGAAGAGCAGCATCCTTTAAAGGAATCAGGGTAAGTTGTGATACTTAAATGCAATTAATAAATATCTGGTATTGGGGAAATGATTTAAACCTTTTAAGAAAGAAGCACATTTAAAAATTACCTGTTTAGGTAATTAGAAAAATATATAACTTGTTTAGGTAACCCTTGGCTGATGAAAAATGTTGACTTGATCATGTGTTGATCGAGGTACTCCTAGTAAATTTTATTATGAGAGTTTCAGTCAAATCGGTGAACATGAATTTGACAGCTAGTGCCCCAGTTTAAACATATTTTATTTGTTTGATATACAAAAGGGATGCGACCCAAGTTAAAATAAACTTATGAAGTTGTCTCCCAAAAAATACCTGTTTAGGTAATTAAAAAAAAATATAACTTGTTTAGGTAATCACTGGCTGATTAAAATGTTGACTTCATCCTGCTCATAGTTAACATCAAATAATTTACAAGTACTTAACAATATTTGTACGGTGAAGGAAAGTAAAGAATTTATTAAATGACTTCATTTTGAAGGAAAGTGTAGTAATTGCATATATTTAATTTTAGACCACATGACAATGATGATAAAGAAGATGAAGAGCAGCATCCTTTAAATGAATCGGGGTAAGTCGTGATACTTAAATGCAATTAATAAATATCTGGTATTGGGGAAATGATTTAAACCTTTTAATAAAGAAGCACTTTGAAGTGTAGATTGATTAAAGGTTGTCTTCAAAACAATGGTCACTTTATTTATGTTTTAAAAGAATGTAAAGACTTTTTTTTAAAACTCATCACTGTTTCTGTAACCTTTGTTTCCATTGAAATTTAAAATTATTCTCTTGAGAGTAACTTTTCTAAAAAATTACCTGTTTAGGTAATTAAACAAGTATATGACTTGTTTAGGGCACCCTTGGCAGATAAAAATGTTGACTTGATCATGTGTTGATTGAGGTCCTCGTAGTAAATTTTATTATGAGAGTTTCAGTCAAATCAGTGAACATGAATTTGACAGCTAGTGCCCCAGTTGAAACATATTTTATTTGTTTGATTAACAAAAGGGATGCGACCCAAGTTAAAATAAACTTATGAAGTTGTCTCCCAAAAAATACCTGTTTAGGTAATTAAAAAAAAATATAACTTGTTTAGGTAATCACTGGCTGATTAAAATGTTGACTTCATCCTGCTCATAGTTAACATCAAATAATTAACAAGTACTTAACAGTATTTGTACAGTGAAGGAAAATAAAGAATTTATTAAATGACTACATTTTGAAGGAAAGTGTAGTAATTGCATATATTTAATTTTAGACCACATGACAATGATGACAAAGAAGATGAAGAGCAGCATCCTTTAAATGAATCGGGGTAAGTCGTGATACTTAAATGCAATTAATACATATCTGGTATTGGGGAAATGATTTAAACCTTTTAAGAAAGAAGCACATTTAAAAATTACCTGTTTAGGTAATTAGAAAAATATATAACTTGTTTAGGTAACCCTTGGCTGATGAAAAATGTTGACTTGATCATGTGTTGATCGAGGTACTCCTAGTAAATTTTATTATGAGAGTTTCAGTCAAATCGGTGAACATGAATTTGACAGCTAGTGCCCCAGTTTAAACATATTTTATTTGTTTGATATACAAAAGGGATGCGACCCAAGTTAAAATAAACTTATGAAGTTGTCTCCCAAAAAATACCTGTTTAGGTAATTAAAAAAAAATATAACTTGTTTAGGTAATCACTGGCTGATTAAAATGTTGACTTCATCCTGCTCATAGTTAACATCAAATAATTTACAAGTACTTAACAATATTTGTACGGTGAAGGAAAGTAAAGAATTTATTAAATGACTTCATTCTGAAGGAAAGTGTAGTAATTGCATATATTTAATTTTAGACCACATCACAATGATGATAAAGAAGATGAAGAGCAGCATCCTTTAAATGAATCGGGATAAGTCGTGATACTTAAATGCAATTAATAAATATCTGGTATTGGGGAAATGATTTAAACCTTTTAATAAAGAAGCACTTTGAAGTGTAGATTGATTAAAGGTTGTCTTCAAAACAATGGTCACTTTATTTATGTTTTAAAAGAATGTAAAGACTTTTTTTTTAAAACTCATCACTGTTTCTGTAACCTTTGTTTCCATTGAAATTTAAAATTATTCTCTTGAGAGTAACTTTTCTAAAAAAAATACCTGTTTAGGTAATTAAACAAATATATGACTTGTTTAGGGCACCCTTGGCTGATAAAAAAGTTGACTTGATCATGTGTTGATTGAGGTCCTCGTAGTAAATTTTATTATGAGAGTTTCAGTCAAATCAGTGAACATGAATTTGACAGCTAGTGCCCCAGTTGAAACATATTTTATTTGTTTGATATACAAAAGGGATGCGACCCAAGTTAAAATAAACTTATGAAGTTGTCTCCCAAAAAATACCTGTTTAGGTAATTAAAAAAAAAATATAACTTGTTTAGGTAATCACTGGCTGATTAAAATGTTGACTTCATCCTGCTCATAGTTAACATCAAATAATTTACAAGTACTTAACAATATTTGTACGGTGAAGGAAAGTAAAGAATTTATTAAATGACTTCATTCTGAAGGAAAGTGTAGTAATTGCATATATTTAATTTTAGACCACATGACAATGATGACAAAGAAGATGAAGAGCAGCATCCTTTAAAGGAATCGGGGTGAGTTGTGATACTTAAATGCAATTAATAAATATCTGGTATTGGGGAAATGATTTAAACCTTTTAATAAAGAAGCACTTTGAAGTGTAGATTGATTAAAGGTTGTCTTCAAAACAATGGTCACTTTATTTATGTTTTAAAAGAATGTAAAGACTTTTTTTTTAAAACTCATCACTGTTTCTGTAACCTTTGTTTCCATTGAAATTTAAAATTATTCTCTTGAGAGTAACTTTTCTAAAAAATTACCTGTTTAGGTAATTAAACAAATATATGACTTGTTTAGGGCACCCTTGGCTGATTAAAATGTTGACTTGATCATGTGTTGATCGAGGTCCTCGTAGTAAATTTTATTATGAGAGTTTGAGTTAAATCGGTGAACATACATTTGACAGCTAGTGCCCAAGTTTAAACATATTTTATTTGTTTAATATACAAATTAAAAGGGATGAGACCCAAGTTAAAACAAACTTATGAAGTCGTCTCCCAAAAAGTACCTGTTTAGGTAATTGAAAAAAAATAAAACTTGTTTAGGTAACCACTGGCTGATTAAAATGTTAACTTCATCCTACTCATAGTTAACATCAAATAATTTACAAGTACTTAACAATATTTGTACGGTGAAGGAAAGTAAAGAATTTATTAAATGACTTCATTTTGAAGGAAAGTGGGGTAATTGCATATATTTGATTTTAGACCACATGACAATGATGGCAAAGAAGATGAAGAGCAGCATCCTTTAAAGGAATCAGGGTTAGTTGTGATACTTAAATGCAATTAATAAATATCTGGTATTGGGGAAATGATTTAAACCTTTTAAGAAAGAAGCACATTTAAAAATTACCTGTTTAGGTAATTAGAAAAATATATAACTTGTTTAGGTAACCCTTGGCTGATGAAAAATGTTGACTTGATCATGTGTTGATCGAGGTACTCCTAGTAAATTTTATTATGAGAGTTTCAGTCAAATCGGTGAACATGAATTTGACAGCTAGTGCCCCAGTTTAAACATATTTTATTTGTTTGATATACAAAAGGGATGCGACCCAAGTTAAAATAAACTGATGAAGTTGTCTCCCAAAAAATACCTGTTTAGGTAATTAAAAAAAAATATAACTTGTTTAGGTAATCACTGGCTGATTAAAATGTTGACTTCATCCTGCTCATAGTTAACATCAAATAATTTACAAGTACTTAACAATATTTGTACGGTGAAGGAAAGTAAAGAATTTATTAAATGACTTCATTTTGAAGGAAAGTGTAGTAATTGCATATATTTAATTTTAGACCACATGACAATGATGATAAAGAAGATGAAGAGCAGCATCCTTTAAATGAATCGGGGTAAGTCGTGATACTTAAATGCAATTAATAAATATCTGGTATTGGGGAAATGATTTAAACCTTTTAATAAAGAAGCACTTTGAAGTGTAGATTGATTAAAGGTTGTCTTCAAAACAATGGTCACTTTATTTCTGTTTTAAAAGAATGTAAAGACTTTTTTTTTAAACTCATCACTGTTTCTGTAACCTTTGTTTCCATTGAAATTTAAAATTATTCTCTTGAGAGTAACTTTTCTAAAAAATTACCTGTTTAGGTAATTAAACAAATATATGACTTGTTTAGGGCACCCTTGGCAGATAAAAATGTTGACTTGATCATGTGTTGATTGAGGTCCTCGTAGTAAATTTTATTATGAGAGTTTCAGTCAAATCAGTGAACATGAATTTGACAGCTAGTGCCCCAGTTGAAACATATTTTATTTGTTTGATTAACAAAAGGGATGCGACCCAAGTTAAAATAAACTTATGAAGTTGTCTCCCAAAAAATACCTGTTTAGGTAATTAAAAAAAAATATAACTTGTTTAGGTAATCACTGGCTGATTAAAATGTTGACTTCATCCTGCTCATAGTTAACATCAAATAATTAACAAATACTTAACAGTAGTTGTACAGTGAAGGAAAATAAAGAATTTATTAAATGACTACATTTTGAAGGAAAGCGTAGTAATTGCATATATTTAATTTTAGACCACATGACAATGATGACAAAGAAGATGAAGAGCAGCATCCTTTAAATGAATCGGGGTAAGTCGTGATACTTAAATGCTATTAATAAATATCTGGTATTGGGTAATTGATTTAAACCTTTTAAGAAAGAAGCACATTTAAAAGTTACCTGTTTAGGTAATTAGAAAAATATATAACTTGTTTAGGTAACCCTTGGCTGATTGAAATGTTGACTTGATCATGTGTTGATCGAGGTCCTCATAGTAAATTTTATTATGAGAGTTTCAGTTAAATCGGTGAACATACATTTGACAGCTAGTGCCCAAGTTTAAACATATTTTATTTGTTTAATATACAAATAAAAATGGATGAGACTTAAGTTAAAACAAACTTATGAAGTCGTCTCCCAAAAAGTACCTGTTTAGGTAATTAAAAAAAAAAAAAAACTTGTTTAGGTAACCACTGGCTGATTAAAATGTTGACTTCATCCTACTCATAGTTAACATCAAATGATTTACAAGTACTTAACAATATTTGTACGGTGAAGGAAAGTAAAGAATTTATTAAATGACTTCATTTTGAAGGAAAGTGGAGTAATTGCATATATTAAATTTTAGACCACATGACAATAATGGCAAAGAAGATGAAGAGCAGCATCCTTTAAAGGAATCGGGGTAAGTTGTGATCCTTAAATGCAATTAATAAATATCTGGTATTGGGGAAATGATTTAAACCTTTTAAGAAAGAAGCACATTTAAAAATTACCTGTTTAGGTAATTAGAAAAATATATAACTTGTTTAGGTAACCCTTGGCTGATGCAAAATGTTGACTTTATCATGTGTTGATCGAGGTACTCCTAGTAAATTTTATTATGAGAGTTTCAGTCAAATCGTTGAACATACATTTGACAGCTAGTGCCCCATTTTAAACATATTTTTATTTGTTTAATATACAAAAGGGATGCGACCCAAGTTAAAACAAACTTATGAAGTCGTCTCCCAAAAAATACTTGTTTAGGTAATTACAATAAAATATAACTTGTTTAGGTAACCACTGGCTGATTAAAATGTTGACTTCATCCTGCTCATAGTTAACATCAAATAATTTACAAGTACTTAACAATATTTGTACGGTGAAGGAAAATAAAGAATTTATTAAATGACTACATTTTGAAGGAAAGTTGAGTAATTGCATATATTTAATTTTAGACCACATGACAATGATGACAAGGAAGATGAAGAGCAGCATCCTTTAAATGAATCGGGGTAAGTCGTGATACTTAAATGCTATTAATAAATATCTGGTATTGGGTAATTGATTTAAACCTTTTAAGAAAGAAGCACATTTAAAAATTACCTGTTTAGGTAATTAGAAAAATATATAACTTGTTTAGGTAACCCTTGGCTGATTGAAATGTTGACTTGATCATGTGTTGATCGAGGTCCTCATAGTAAATTTTATTATGAGAGTTTCAGTTAAATCGGTGAACATACATTTGACAGCTAGTGCCCAAGTTTAAACATATTTTATTTGTTTAATATACAAATAAAAATGGATGAGACTTAAGTTAAAACAAACTTATGAAGTCGTCTCCCAAAAAGTACCTGTTTAGGTAATTAAAAAAAAAAAAAAAACTTGTTTAGGTAACCACTGGTTGATTAAAATGTTGACTTCATCCTACTCATAGTTAACATCAAATGATTTACAAGTACTTAACAATATTTGTACGGTGAAGGAAAGTAAAGAATTTATTAAATGACTTCATTTTGAAGGAAAGTGGAGTAATTGCATATATTAAATTTTAGACCACATGACAATGATGGCAAAGAAGATGAAGAGCAGCATCCTTTAAAGGAATCGGGGTAAGTTGTGATCCTTAAATGCAATTAAGGTAGAGACGGACGGGTATCACATGACCTATTATAGCACGTGCATTTTGCGTAATTAAAATCGGTTCCGATTCTTTTTTTACGCAATCGGTAGACAAGGTAAACAAAGAAAATGGCAGACGACTGCGACCGCCTTCGTGTTCGCGGTCGGTTTATTAAGAACGACAGATTCAAAAAATCTAAAAGGATGAACACTTTGAACGAGAGAGATAAAGTTACTCAATGGGGAGACCATGATTACGGTACGAGGGGAGAATTGCCATTAGAACCGACAATGATTCAAGAGACACCGGTATCAGTTGAGAACATAGCCTCCAATGTTACTGTTTCAACTGATATCGGACACAGTAAAAACATCTTATGGAATGAAGGCAGGAGGGTTGTTGAGTTGGAAGTGCTAGCGGAACAACTCTTCTGCAACAGATGCAACACCCCACTCTTTCTGAAGGATATAGTAGGTGAAATGAGGTAAACAATAATTTTTAGCACCCCTTCATTTTTTACAAACTATCAAAACCATGTGAAGTTTGTAGGAATATGATTGCAATTCACTTTAAAATATGTCCTGCTGGCAGATATCTTTACAATTTTTCTCTCAATCCAAACCCTTGTAGGAAATCATTACTAACAGGACAGCGATTGTTTCTTTGCCTATTATACATTTTAGCTCACTATGCGATATGGGTTTTACTCATTTTTGTAGGCCCTGACTCACCGATAGTTGTTAAATTCTGTGTCATTTGGTCTCTTGTTGAGATTTGTTTAGAGAGTTGTCTCATTGGAAATCATACCACATCTTATATATATTGAATTTTGTTTCTTTTCCCTTCCCCTTATATAATGCAACCTACACAAGAAAAATGTCCCTACTCAAAAAGTTTTGTTTTGACATTCTGAATAGAAATACAAAATGTAGTTGTTTTCTTTCAAGTCTCTTGATAAATAATAAAAAATATAAATTTCATGACATTTTTGTAAATTTCCTTTCATAAATGTTAAATAAGATATTTTTCCTACATGAACCTTCAGGTACATTTTTGTACATGTACCTACCCAGTACTTACCCACTATATAAAATTTGGGTCTAAAAAGGGGAAACAACATATATTTTAAGTTTGGCCTCACGATAAAACAAAATGATATCAGCTACCTTTCAGTATATTAAATTTTTATCTTACAGGTACGGCTTAGGAAGTCTTTTGGAGGTGGTATGTCAGATATGCTCTGGTATGAAACTGGTATCTACAGGCAAGCGGAATGAAAAAGGAGCATTTGATATCAACTCAAAAGTTGCTCTTGGTATGTGCAAAAAGCTTTATTGTAAGAAAAAAAGTAGGAAAGTTAGATTACTGTAAATTCAGAAATTATTGCGATGTTTTTATTATTGCGAAAAATGCGACAGGGTTATAATCGCAATAATTTAAACTCGCATTTTAAAACTTTGTACATGAATTAAACAGGATTTTTCACAATATCGCAAAAATTAAAATCGCATTTTAGTCTAAAATGACAAAATCGCAATAATAAATGCACGCAATAATTTCTGAATTTACAGTATTAATTCTATTTTATTTATCATTCTGACACGTTTAATGTTTTTTAAAGTAGTTTCTTTCAAACTCATGACATGGGTATGGGGTGTTCAAATTTGTGTACTATGTAGTGTAATTTATTATTTACAGTGTTGCTTACACCAAGGATTGCTAATATGTCTATGGCTTACAGCGTAGCTATTACAAATCACTGCAGGGGATGTATATATTGTTCTTTCTAATTTAAAACTTGCCTAAGTAAACTAAGAAAAAGATTTTCTCATTTCCTGGGATGAAAATTTTTATTCTATTTTTTTATAACACTATTTTGAATTAAGAGGGTTTTAAGCATCATTCAGAAAAGAAAAAAAAATCTTATCTTTATACCCACACTAGTTGGTAAACAGCAAAGCAATAATTTATTAAAGATGGCCTTAAATTGATTTAAGTAAGCTAGGAAGTTATAATTTCTATGTATTTCTGCTTGAATATTAAAAATGTCATAATGAACTTTGACATTGAATTTTGTGAGCTCACTAGGTTGTAGCTTTATCAATTGTCACCTGAGCTCTATTATTGAATTGTAATTAATTTAATTGATAAAGATATATATATATGCAGTATGTAGGTGGTAAAAATTGATAATCATAGTAAATCATAATGATTTCAGCAATGATGCACTCTGGAATGGGTCCTGATCATGTTGTGAATTTTCTCAGCACATGTAACATACCCCCACCTGATCCCAAGACACTGAAAAAGAAGGAGAAATGTATAGCATTGTCACTTATGGATGAGGCATCTGATTCCTGTAAAACTGCTAGTGCAGAAGAAAAAGCTATTTCCCCAAGTGATGAATTAGAATGCAGTTTTGATGCTGGCTGGCAAACAAGAGGCTCTGGTTGGCAATATAACAGTAACACAGGTATCATGTCAACATCAGTAATATTATAGAAATAAAAGTGGAGGAGTTTATTGATGTGTGCTCACTAGGTTACCGAATTGCATATAAACTGAATCAAGTCAGAAGGACTTTATGTAAAAATTAAAATATGCATGTTAGTCTTTAATTCTGTCAGGTTTACACATCAATAAACTCGTCCAAAATAACTATTTAGGTTCCAACTATGAAAATCATAGGTACATTTAGGTTTACCCTTGTCCCTCTGTATATCTGTCCTTTCCTCCCAATTTTAGTTAAGTTTTTATGTTTAAGTCCATATCTCACCTACTGTACATGGTAGACCAATGATATTTGATCAATAGGTATACCATATGAATAACTAGTAGTACTGCACATTGGGGTTCACTAAAAAGTAGGCCATTCTACCCTACAGTAATGTGTTGAGTATAAAAAAGAAGATGTGGTATGATTCATAATGATTGCCAATGAGACAACTCTCCACAAGAGACCAAATGACACAGAAATTAACAACTATAGGTCACTGTACAGCCTTCAACAATGAGTAAAGTCCATACCGCATTGTCAGCTATTGAGGGCCCAGAAAGGACAATGTAAAACAATTCAAACAAGAAAACTAATGGCCTAATTAAAGGTCCATTTCTCAGCTACTATTTTATTTCAATGAAATTTGGTAATAAGGTAGATTGTGATATTGGAACAGATACCTGACATTGGAATTTTTAGGTTTATTTGTAACTTATGGCTAAACAGCAAAAAAAGCTAAGCAAAACTCACATTTACATCTGTGTCATATAGATAAACCTTTTAAGTTATATTTGCAAACATTATCCTTTTTTTTCTATTTTGAATATAATTATCAGAAACTGTTTTTGACCTTTTCTTATGTGACTAAAAAGGACACGGACTTCGTATATTTCAGGAAATTCCAGTCTAGTTGGTGTAAAGACAGGGAAAATTCTAGACTATGATATAAGAACTAAACTTTGCAGTATATGCCAGCATCATTTGGGAAGAAAGGAAACAATTCCAAATCATCAATGCAACAGTAATTGGCAAGGTACACAAACAACAATTTTTTAAAACGTTTTTTTTCCAGCAAAATCCAAAGATTTAAGGTTAATCCAGCCTTCTGTGAAAACGTCACCATATCCACAATCTGTTTTAGTTTATGCAAATTAGTTATCCAGACAACAATAAGAATATCACAAGTTGTAACTATAGCTAGCACATACATTTGTAACAAATAATTTTTTATAGCAATCTTTCCGAATGGAGGTTGCCCTATAGTGACCAGTCTGTCCGTCTGTAACAAGTTGTGTCCCCTCTATATCTAGAAAATCATTATGATTTCATACTTGGGTTTCAGTTGACAACCCATGTCCTATGGTGAAGATTGTGTCTGCTCTATATCTTCAGAACCATTATGATTTCAAAGTTTATACTTAACATGTATATTAACCAACACCAGAGGGTGTGTCTTTATGTATGTACAACTTCCTAGGTCAAAGGTCAAGGTAAAAAAACTTTGGTTCTGTTGACAATCACATGACCATAATGGTAAAGATACAAACAAATTTCCACACATTATTCACAGCGAGACCCACAGAGATGGCTTCCATCTCAATGAGTCTAGTTTTAATTATTACAGTTACAAAAACATAACTTTTTGTTTTGGTCCTTGAAAAAAGGACAATGATATTTGGTTTATGATTGCATAGTCATAACACCGCCTTATGGCTATACACTTACAAATCAAGTATGTGTGTTGTGTACCACCATGACCTTTAAATTACCTTATTCTTAGACTACAATGTCAAATAATTTAGTTTTTGTCGAGCCTGCGACTTTTGTCGCAGAAAGCTCGACATAGGGATAGTGATCCGGCGGCGGTGGCGTTAGCTAACTTCTTAAAAGCTTTATATTTTAGAAGGTGGAAGGTCTGGATGCTTCATACTTTGTATATGGATGCCTTATGTTACGAAGTTTCCGTCAGTCACATGTCCAATGTCCTTGACCTCATTTTCATGGTTGACTACTTGAAAAAAAAGTTAAGATTTTTTGTAATGTTAGATTCTCTCTTATTATAAGTAATATGATAACTATATTTGGTATGTGCGTACCTTGCAAGATCCTCATGCCCGTCAGCCAGTTTTCACTTGACCTCGACCTCATTTCATGGATCAGTAAACAAGGTTAAGTTTTGGTGGTCAAGTCCATAGCTCAGATACTATAAGCAATAGGTCTAGTATATTCGGTGTATGGAAGGACTGTAAGGTGTACATGTCCAACTGGCAGGTGTCATCTGACCTTGACCTCATTTTCATGGTTCAGTGGTTTTAGTTAAGTTTTTGTGTTTTGGTCTGTTTTTCTTATACTGTATGCCATAGGTCTACTATATTTGGTGTATGGAATGATTGTAAGGTGTACATGTCTAGCGGGCAGGTGTCATCTGACCTTGACCTCATTTTCATGGTCAGTGGTCAAAGTTAAGTTTTTTGAGTTTTGGTCTTTTTTTCTAATACTATATGCAATAGTTCAACTATATTTGGTGTATGGAAATATTTTATGATCTATTTGGCAGTCACGCAGGTTTTATTTGACCTTGACCTCATTTTCAAGGTTCATTGCTCAGTGTTAAGTTTTTGTGTTTTGGTCTGTTTTTCTTAAACTATAAGCAATAGGTCAACTATATTTGTTGTATGGAAGAACTGTTAGCTGTACATGCCTGCCTAGCATGGTTCATCTGACCTTGACCTCATTTTCATGGTTCATTGGTCAATGTTTAGTTTACTTGGTTAATGTTAAGTTTATGTGACAGTTGTAATAAAGCTTTATATTTAGGACTATCAACATAATATCAATGATTAGTAAAGAAGGCGAGACATTTCAGTGTGTGCACTCTTGTGTTAGTTATAAGAAGGGAGATGAAATATGTTTCAGTCATCCAAAACAGTTCTCACGTAATTAATTGTATTAATTACAATGTCCTTTTTTGTTACAGGGTCAAGTAAAGGCATGGAGCCTGACATGGCTTTATCCATGGTTACAAGGATGGACGACAGAGGGTGCACAGTTGGCATTATTCACGCAGATAATGACTCTACAACAACATCAAGGCTGAAGCAAAAATTTGAAAAAATTAAAAAAAGAGACGACAAGAACCATGTCAAGAAAAATCTGTCGAAACAACTGTATGCAGCAGCAAATAAGTACAGAGAGCTGAAGGGGAAAGGAGTTATTCCTTACATACTTAAATGCTATATGTATGCTATAAGTTCAAAACAGTCAAAGGAGGATGAACTTTGTGAAAGATTAGACAGTATAGTTCCACACCTCTTTGGAGACCATTCAGGCTGTTCTGGGGATTGGTGCACATATTCCAAGCAACCATCAACATACAGGTTTGAATTTTTTTAAATTTGAAGGATGTTATACATATATATGAACGTTTTTTTTATATTTTTATTATGAGTGATATATGCCAGAACAAAAGTTAAGTTTGGGAGCTGTTATTGCTATTTTAAATGCTGACAACCAGTTTTGTCATATAAATGCAGAAAAAAAACAATATACAATAAAACAAGTACATCCTCTCATTCTATAAAACAAACAAAAACAAAAGGTTTTTCTCCAGGTAAATACAATTATAGGATCATTAGTACCAAAATAATTTACAGACAATAAAAAGACTTGTAATGGTTAATTGAAGAACATTTTTTCCTGGAATTGAACAATAATTGTGTTGTATTTGAATACTTGCCAATGGACTATTCCATCTGTGCTGTTACTATCACCAAATGAGTTTTTCGGGTGACTAAAAAATGTAAGATAAAACCATCAGCAAATATTCAAATACAACACAGTTATTGTTATGCACAAGTCTTATTTTCTCAATAAATTTTTATGCCCCATTTATGGGCATTATGTTTTCTGGTCTGTCTGTGCGTCCATTTGTCCATATGTCGGTTCGTTCGTCCGTCCGTTCGGCTGTCCCGCTTCAGGTTAAAGTTTTTGGTTGAGGTAGTTTTTGATGAAGTTGAAGTCCAATCAACTTGAAACTTAGTACACATGTTCCCTATGATATGATCCTTCTAATTTTAATGCCAAATTAGAGATTTTGTCCCATTTTCACGGTCCACTGAACATAGAAAATGATAGTGCGGATGGGGCATCCATGTACTTGGGACACATTCTTGTTGTTTTTATATTTTGGAAATGTCATCTGGCACAGCGCAAAAAATTTCATCCAACAGGTACATCATCAGTTTTACCCCCTGAAGATATGTGATGTTGTCCAATCAAAATCCTTGTTATAAAAAAAAACGCATTACAATACATAATGAATAACACAGTTCAGCCTCTTTAGGAATATTCAAGCAAGCTATTTAACTAAATGGACAGGTAAATAAAATTGTACAGTATAGATCAATTTGAAACATTCCCATAAATCAACATTCATATAATGTATGACATTTCAACTATTTTCTTTGATATCATTTCAGATATAAACATCTCCCAAAAGGTGAACCATTGACAAATGAGAACCTGCGTAAGCAGTTAGAGACAGTGACAGAAAATTACAAGAAAAGATCAAGCCAACTTGTAGATTTAGGCGTGAAATACCAAAAGCTGATGTTCAAAATTATAAGCAACAAACATTAGTTCAAAAGTTTCTGGAGATTGTTTATGATGCTCATAATTCTGAGGAGGATGTAAGAAGTTTATACAAACTGTTCCATCTTAAACTGAAACAGACATGTTCTGCAAAGGATTTATTTCCGTTTAATTATTTGTCAATTGTAGAGGGTTTTTCTAGTGTCATTGTTAAAAAAGTTATTTCAAAAGACACTGCAAGGAAACTTTCCTGCACAGGTCTCAGCCTCCATCACTTGGAGCTTGCTTACAAAAGAAACAATGAAGAAGGCGTAAAATCCATCATGCAGGAACATGGTTTGAAAGGGAAAACGGCAAATGTGTTCAAGAAGTTTTTTTCTGAAAAAGAGGAATAGACTGTATATGTGGTTAAAGACTGAAAATTTGATATTTATATGCTATAATTCAGTAGAAAAATTGGTTCTGCCTATCTAAAAATCTAACCCTTTGAAACAACCCTTGCTAAAAGTTGATTATGAATAAATTGAAGTTTTTACTAAAATTTGAGTAACCAAAGAGTACTTACACTTCAAATATATAAGAATTAGGGATCTGTTATAAAATTGCAGCATCCTTTAGTAATTACTCTGTATGTACATCTGTCACAGTTTCCTATTTTGTACAATAACCCAAGTTTGCCTCGACAGATACGCAACAATAAGTATCACATGACATATAAATATTTTCCAATTAGTCAATATTGGTGGATAACTTTCTGAAGCCTGAAGGATTATTTCTCTTACAGATTTTTATTTTGATTGACAAATTTTTCAACAGATTTTTATGAACTTTTATACAAAAGTAGGTGCTTATTTCACAATACAAGTCAACTGAATATTAATAAAGGGGAGATAACTTCACTTCATTTACATGAACCAACATAAGAAGCATTAGGCTAGGCCATAAATCAGAAATGAGGGGACTCATAAGGTTGAATAAAAGTAACAATATAGTAATGTATCAGTTCCAAAGTTTTACCATCTTGCCCATCCCTACCCCACCCCTTTTTCCACATTTTTCTAAGATTTGTTGTAGCAATCTGATCTAAGGGCAAGACTATTGCTTTATATAAAGTTTTTTTAATGGAATATTTTTCAGAGATTGCAGTTTTCATGAAATTGGACAAACGTTTCAGTGAGTCCCTTGGAAACTGAATCTGCCCCATATTTATTTTTTATTTTTGAGAATATATACTTTTGCAAGTTTAATCCACATTCTCATCCTGGATATGTATTGTAAATTGATGTTATATTATCATGCTTCTTATATGATTTGCATATTAGGGAATACTTTGATATAATTGGTCAAGAGGACCTCGGGTAGTTGTTCTTGAAATTGTTTATTTTTCAATAGACGATGTTGACCGAACTTCTTTTTGTAATCAATGAGGCGATAGTAACACAATCCGACTCAATGTTAAAACTATTTATTTTCACTTTGCATTAATCTTTAAATTGAATACAAACACAAAAAATTCATTTGAATGAAAATAAGACTTTTTGTAGTTTATTTTTTTATCAGATAACAAATTACACGGAGTACATATTTTTGCGTTAACCAACAAATAAATTCATACGCCTGGCCAATTCAATGACACACATATACTACATGTATTGACGTATGATGATGATAACGAGTGTGGAAAAATAATTTTTTTGGTAAAAAATTAAAGAATAATATGATTAAACACTTTTTTAAAGGAATTTATTGGTGTATAAACTGGACCAAGTCACTCGCAAATATATTTTCAGAGATTGTAGTTTTCATGAAATTGGACAAATTAAACGTTTCAGTGAGTCCCTTGGAAACTGAATCTGCCCCATATTTATTTTTTTGTTTTTGAGAATATACACTTTTGCAAGTGTCATCCACATTCTCATTCTGGATATTTTTTGTAAATTGATGTTATATTATCATAATGTTTTGATAATTACAGTGGTTTGTTTTATATCATTGAGACATGGTCCATCTAGATAAAAATCAATTGGTGTCTGTAAAATGTCTGCTCTTGAGTTTTGTTTACATTTATGAATGTGGATGGTAATTACATAAAAAAAAATGATGTAAAAATAAAATTTATTTTACATATATATATATATTCTTTTTTGCTGCATCATTATAATCATGAACAGTGATTAATGAGTATGTTGATTTTTACACTTCCAAGACTTTCACAACAATCATTCAGATCAAACATCACACTATTCAGTCTATGTAGATATAGGAAGATGTGGTATGAGTGCCAATGAGACAACTCTCCATCCAAGTTACAATTTATAAAAGTAAACCATTATAGGTCAAGGTACGGCCTTCAACACGGAGCATTGGCTCACACCGAACAGCAAGCTATAAAGGGCCCCAAAAATTACTAGTGTAAAACCATTCAAACGGGAAAACCAACGGTCTAATCTATATAAAAACGAGAAATGAGAAACATGTATGAACTACATAAACAGACGACAACTACTGTACATCAGATTCCTGACTTAGGACAGGTGTAAACATTTGCAGCGGGACTGTTTAGGAACGTCTGTATTGAAAAATGTACAGGAAAAATGTCGTTTTATTTTAAGGTTAATTGAAAGGACAAAATAATATTACAAAGACATGGATGCTGCAAAACCAATGCTCATTTAAGAAATAATCCCACCTTTAGTTAAGAGAGTTAAAAAAATAAGTGAAAAATTTTGATATTTTTCATGAAATATGCATAAAAGGGAGTGTGACAGGGTGTCATTCTACCCCCGTAACTTTTTATTTTCCCTGGAAACATATCTTTATTTTTTTATGACTTGTAGCATGGATATAAAGTATTTTATATACCAATTTAAAAAAAAAATTCATTGACACAATTTTTTTTTTTTTTACTTTTAAAATATTTTTTTAGCAAAATTTTACACAAGACGGCAACAGGCATATTACAAAAAAGGGTAGCCATTTTGAAAAAAATATTTTTTTTTTTTTAAATATTATGTCTAAAATATTTCAAAATATTAATTTATCATATTGTTCTGAGAAAAAGTAAAAAAAAATATATATGCCATTTTTGGCAGGTACCTTTATAGCTTAAAAATGGCCAAAAAATGACATTTTTAGGACTGCAAAGGGAGGTAACTTTTTCAAAGAATATTTCTAAAAATAGCCTGGAAACCTATTCTCAAATTTTGATATTTTGTTAGGTACACCCCAATGAACAATATATGGGAAATTTAAGAAAGTTCATTGGCTAGATTTTTTTGGCCTACAGTGTCCTTCTCTACCTTAATAAATATCTGGTATTGGGGAAATAATTTAAACCTTTTAAGAAAGAAGCACATTTAAAAATTACCTGTTTGGGTAATTAGAAAAATATATAACTTGTTTAGGTAACCCTTGGCTGATGAAAAATGTTGACTTGATCATGTGTTGATCGAGGTACTCCTAGTAAATTTTATTATGAGAGTTTCAGTCAAATCGGTGAACATACATTTGACAGCTAGTGCCCCAGTTTAAACATATTTTATTTGTTTAATATACAAAAGGGATGCGACCCAAGTTAAGACAAACTTATGAAGTCGTCTCCCAAAAAATACCTGTTTAGGTAATTAAAATAAAATATAACTTGTTTAGGTAACCACTTGCTGATTAAAATGTTGACTTCATCCTGCTCATAGTTAACATCAAATAATTTACAAGTACTTAACAATATTTGTACGGTGAAGGAAAATAAAGAATTTATTAAATGACTACATTTTGAAGGAAAGTTGAGTAATTGCATATATTTAATTTTAGACCACATGACAATGATAACAAAGAAGATGAAGAGCAGCATCCTTTAAATGAATCAGGGTAAGTTGTGATACTTAAATGCAATTAATAAATATCTGATATTCGGGAAATGATTTCAACCTTTTAAGAAAGAAGCACATTTAAAAATTACCTGTTTAGGTAATTAGAAAAATAGATTACTTGTTTAGGTAACCCTTGGCTGATTAAAGTGTTGACTTGATCATGGATTGATCGAGGTCCTCGTAGTAAATTTTACTATGAGAGTTTCAGTTAAATCGGTGAACATACATTTGACAGCTAGTGCCTCAGTTTAAACATATTTTATTTGTTTAATATACAAATTAAAAGGGATGAGACCCAAGTTAAAACAAACTTATGAAGTCGTCTCCCAAAAAATACCTGTTTAGGTAATTAAAAAAAAATATAACTTGTTTAGGTAATCACTGGCTGATTAAAATGTTGACTTCATCCTGCTCATAGTTAACATCAAATAATTTACAAGTACTTAACAGTATTTGTACAGTGAAGGAAAATAAAGAATTTATTAAATGACTACATTTTGAAGGAAAGTGTAGTAATTGCATATATTTAATTTTAGACCACATGACAATGATGACAAAGAAGATGAAGAACAGCATCCTTTAAAGGAATCGGGGTAAGTTGTGATACTTAAATGCAATTAATAAATATCTGGTATTGGGGAAATGATTTAAACCTTTTAATAAAGAAGCACTTTGAAGTGTAGATTGATTAAAGGTTGTCTTCAAAACAATGGTCACTTTATTTATGTTTTAAAAGAATGTAAAGACTTTTTTTTTAAAACTCATCACTGTTTCTGTAACCTTTGTTTCCATTGAAATTTAAAATTATTCTCTTGAGAGTAACTTTTCTAAAAAATTACCTGTTTAGGTAATTACACAAATATATGACTTGTGTAGGGCACCCTTGGCTGATTAAAATGTTGACTTGATCATGTGTTGATCGAGGTCCTCGTAGTAAATTTTATTATGAGAGTTTCAGTTAAATCGGTGAACATACATTTGACAGCTAGTGCCCAAGTTTAAACATATTGTATTTGTTTAATATACAAATTAAAAGGGATGAGACCCAAGTTAAAACAAACTTATGAAGTCGTCTCCCAAAAAGTACCTGTTTAGGTAATTGAAAAAAAATAAAACTTGTTTAGGTAACCACTGGCTGATTAAAATGTTGACTTCATCCTACTCATAGTTAACATCAAATAATTTACAAGTACTTAACAATATTTGTACGGTGAAGGAAAGTAAAGAATTTATTAAATGACTTCATTTTGAAGGAAAGTGTAGTAATTGCATATATTTAATTTTAGACCACATGACAATGATGATAAAGAAGATGAAGAGCAGCATCCTTTAAATGAATCGGGGTAAGTCGTGATACTTAAATGCAATTAATAAATATCTGGTATTGGGGAAATGATTTAAACCTTTTAAGAAAGAAGCACATTTAAAAATTACCTGTTTAGGTAATTAGAAAAATATATAACTTGTTTAGGTAACCCTTGGCTGATGAAAAATGTTGACTTGATCATGTGTTGATCGAGGTACTCCTAGTAAATTTTATTATGAGAGTTTCAGTCAAATCGGTGAACATGAATTTGACAGCTAGTGCCCCAGTTTAAACATATTTTATTTGTTTGATATACAAAAGGGATGCGACCCAAGTTAAAATAAACTGATGAAGTTGTCTCCCAAAAAATACATGTTTAGGTAATTAAAAAAAAATATAACTTGGTTAGGTAATCACTGGCTGATTAAAATGTTGACTTCATCCTGCTCATAGTTAACATCAAATAATTTACAAGTACTTAACAATATTTGTACGGTGAAGGAAAGTAAAGAATTTATTAAATGACTTCATTTTGAAGGAAAGTGTAGTAATTGCATATATTTAATTTTAGACCACATGACAATGATGATAAAGAAGATGAAGAGCAGCATCCTTTAAATGAATCGGGATAAGTCGTGATACTTAAATGCAATTAATAAATATCTGGTATTGGGGAAATGATTTAAACCTTTTAATAAAGAAGCACTTTGAAGTGTAAATTGATTAAAGGTTGTCTTCAAAACAATGGTCACTTTATTTATGTTTTAAAAGAATGTAAAGACTTTTTTTTTAAAACTCATCACTGTTTCTGTAACCTTTGTTTCCATTGAATTTTAAAATTATTCTCTTGAGAGTAACTTTTCTAAAAAATTACCTGTTTAGGTAATTAAACAAATATATGACTTGTTTAGGGCACCCTTGGCTGATAAAAATGTTGACTTGATCATGTGTTGATTGAGGTCCTCGTAGTAAATTTTATTATGAGAGTTTCAGTCAAATCGTTGAACATACATTTGACAGCTAGTGCCCCAGTTTAAACATATTTTATTTGTTTAATATACAAAAGGGATGCGACCCAAGTTAAAACAAACTTATGAAGTTGTCTCCCAAAAAATACCTGTTTAGGTAATTAAAATAAAAGATAACTTGTTTAGGTAACCACTGGCTGATTAAAATGTTGACTTCATCCTGCTCATAGTTAACATCAAATAATTTACAAGTACTTAACAATATTTGTACGGTGAAGGAAAATAAAGAATTTATTAAATGACTACATTTTGAAGAAAAGTTGAGTAATTGCATATATTTAATTTTAGACCACATGACAATGATGACAAAGAAGATAAAGAGCAGCATCCTTTAAATGAATCGGGGTAAGTCGTGATACTTAAATGCTATTAATAAATATCTGGTATTGGGTAATTGATTTAAACCTTTTAAGAAAGAAGCACATTTAAAAATTACCTGTTTAGGTAATTAGAAAAATATATAACTTGTTTAGGTAACCCTTGGCTGATTAAAATGTTGACTTGATCATGTGTTGATCGAGGTCCTCATAGTAAATTTTATTATGAGAGTTTCAGTTAAATCGGTGAACATACATTTGACAGCTAGTGCCCAAGTTTAAACATATTTTATTTGTTTAATATACAAATAAAAATGGATGAGACTTAAGTTAAAACAAACTTATGAAGTCGTCTCCCAAAAAGTACCTGTTTAGGTAATTAAAAAAAAAAAAAAAAACTTGTTTAGGTAACCACTGCCTGATTAAAATGTTGACTTCATCCTACTCATAGTTAACATCAAATAATTTACAAGTACTAAACAATATTTGTACGGTGAAGGAAAATAAAGAATTTATTAAATGACTTCATTTTGAAGGAAAGTGGAGTAATTGCATATATTTAATTTTAGACCACATGACAATGATGGCAAAGAAGATGAAGAGCAGCATCCTTTAAAGGAATCGGGGTAAGTTGTGATACTTAAATGCAATTAATAAATATCTGGTATTGGGGAAATGATCTAAACCTTTTTAAGAAAGAAGCACATTTAAAAATTACCTGTTTAGGTAATTAGAAAAATATATAACTTGTTTAGGTAACCCTTGGCTGATGAAAAATGTTGACTTGATCATGTGTTGATCGAGGTACTCCTAGTAAATTTTATTATGAGAGTTTCAGTCAAATCGTTGAACATACATTTGACAGCTAGTGCCCCAGTTTAAACATATTTTATTTGTTTAATATACAAAAGGGATGCGACCCAAGTTAAAACAAACTTATGAAGTTGTCTCCCAAAAAATACCTGTTTAGGTAATTAAAATAAAAGATAACTTGTTTAGGTAACCACTGGCTGATTAAAATGTTGACTTCATCCTGCTCATAGTTAACATCAAATAATTTACAAGTACTTAACAATATTTGTACGGTGAAGGAAAATAAAGAATTTATTAAATGACTACATTTTGAAGGAAAGTTGAGTAATTGCATATATTTAATTTTAGACCACATGACAATGATAACAAAGAAGATGAAGAGCAGCATCCTTTAAATGAATCAGGGTAAGTTGTGATACTTAAATGCAATTAATAAATATCTGGTATTCGGGAAATGATTTAAACCGTTTAAGAAAGAAGCACATTTAAAAATTACCTGTTTAGGTAATTAGAAAAAATATATTACTTGTTTAGGTAACCCTTGGCTGATTAAAGTGTTGACTTGATCATGTGTTGATCGAGGTCCTCGTAGTAAATTTTATTATGAGAGTTTCAGTTAAATCGGTGAACATACATTTGACAGCTAGTGCCCCAGTTTAAACATATTTTATTTGTTTAATATACAAATTAAAAGGGATGAGACCCAAGTTAAAACAGACTTATGAAGTCGTCTCCCAAAAAATACCTGTTTAGGTAATTAAAAAAAAAAAACTTGTTTAGGTAACCACTGGCTGATTAAAATGTTGACTTCATCCTACTCATAGTTAACATCAAATAATTTACAAGTACTTAACAATATTTGTACGGTGAAGGAAAATACAGAATTTATTAAATGACTTCATTTTGAAGGAAAGTGGAGTAATTGCATATATTTAATTTTAGACCACATGACAATGATGACAAAGAAGATGAAGAGCAGCATCCTTTAAAGGAATCGAGGTAATTCGTGATACTTAAATGCAATTAATAAATATCTGGTATTGGGGAAATGATTTAAACCTTTTAAGAAAGAAGCACATTTAAAAATTACCTGTTAGGGTAATTAGAAAAATATATAACTTGTTTAGGTAACCCTTGGCTGATGAAAAATGTTGACTTGATCATGTGTTGATCGAGGTACTCCTAGTAAATTTTATTATGAGAGTTTCAGTTAAATCGGTGAACATACATTTGACAGCCAGTGCCCCAGTTTAAACATATTTTATTTGTTTAATATACAAAAGGGATGCGACCCAAGTTAAAACAAACTTATGAAGTCGTCTCCCAAAAAATACCTGTTTAGGTAATTAAAATAAAATATAACTTGTTTAGGTAACCACTGGCTGATTAAAATATTAACTTCATCCTGCTCGTAGTTAACATCAAATAATTTACAAGTACTTAACAATATTTGTACGGTGAAGGAAAATAAAGAATTCATTAAATGACTACATTTTGAAGGAAAGTGGAGTAATTGCATATATTTAATTTTAGACCACATGACAATGATAACAAAGAAGATGAAGAGCAGCATCCTTTAAATGAATCAGGGTAAGTTGTGATACTTTAATGCAATTAATAAATATCTGGTATTCGGGAAATGATATAAACCTTTTAAGAAAGAAGCACATTTAAAAATTACCTGTTTAGGTAATTAGAAAAATATATAACTTGTTTAGGTAACCCTTGGCTGATGAAAAATGTTGACTTGATCATGTGTTGATCGAGGTACTCCTAGTAAATTTTATTATGAGAGTTTCAGTCAAATCGGTGAACATACATTTGACAGCTAGTGCCCCAGTTTAAACATATTTTATTTGTTTAACATACAAAAGGGATGCGACCCAAGTTAAAACAAACTGATGAAGTCATCTCCCAAAAAATAACTGTTTAGGTAATTAGAATAAAATATAACTTGTTTAGGTAACCACTGGCTGATTAAAATATTGACTTCATCCTGCTCATAGTTAACATCAAATAATTAACAAGTACTTAACAACATTTGTACGGTAAAGGAAAATAAAGAATTTGTTAAATAACTTCATTTTGAAGGAAAGTTGAGTAATTGCTTATATTTAATTTTAGACCACATGACAATGATGACAAAGAAAATGAAGAGCAGCATCCTTTAATGAATCAGGGTAAGTCGTGATACTTAAATGCAATTAATAAATATCTGGTATTGGGGAAATGATTTAAACCTTTTAAGAAAGAAGCACACTGATGTGTAGATTGATTAAAGGTTGTCTTCAAAACAATGGTCTCTTTATTTATGTTTTAGAAGAATGTAAAGACTCTTTTTTTTTTAAAACTCATCACTGTTTCTGTAACCTTTGTTTCAATTGAAATTTAATATTATTATCTTGAGAGTAACTTTTCTTAAAAATTACCTGTTTAGGTAATTAAAAAAATGTATAACTTGTTTAGGTAACCACTGGCTGATAAAATGCAATTAATCAAATCAATACTAATTAATCAATATCTGGTATTGAGAGATGAAAGTGAAGATTAAGATCAATCTTTAAATAAATCTGATTGACAAGAAAAAGAGCATTACTTAAAAAGTAACTTTTAAAATTACCTATATAAGTTATGTTAAAAATGGACTTAGAATGTAACGTATATCAGTTATTATTCTTATTATCCTTTGTTTGTATCTTACAATTTACAAATAAAAGTTGATATTGATCATTTAATAAAAGTTGAAACGGCATACATATGTATTAAATGTGGAATCCAGATTGAACTGAGCTTTAACATAACAGCTTGCAACAGAAAACTGATACCAGTATATGTTCAATGCTTCTGTTATTTGTTCACCTTTATTTGTATAGTAGAAAGGTTGCTGGCAGGATAAAATGCTTTTAGTACAATACTACAAGTTAATACTTATTTTTTATAGACCAGAATGTCAAAAGAAACTATTTGAAGATGAGGACATGGTTATAGATGATAGGTTTGTAAATCAATAAAACAGTAATGACCATTTTTTTGATATAGCGGTTGTCTTTGTTATCTTAATCCAAATTTTCATTTATTATTTTTCCTTAAATCAGGCTGTTTATTTTCTTGCTTGAATTGATTTTTAGCTCACCTTTCCCTGAATGGAAATGTGAGCTCTTGCCATTACTTGGCGTTTGTCGTCATGGTCCGTCATCTGGTGTAAACTATTTCAAAGATCTTCTCTTCTGAAACAACTCAACCAATTCAAACCAAACTTAAGCTGAAGGATCTAGAGGGTATCTTTAAAGTTTATGATTTCTTTTCTGTTAAGTCCAAAACTATGGCCACCATGGCAAAGATGTAAAAAGCAGTTTTAGGCTTATATCTCAAAAACTGCTAAAAATAAAGACCATGGCATGTATGGCTAAAATAGAACATAGAAGAAAATATGACAGATACATGTACAAACAACACTTAAATGGCATTTGTAAGTATATTTATATACATTGAAAAGCAAAAATAATCATTGATGAAAGATTTAAGCAAAAACCTACAGGCGAGAGATTCAGCATGTTCAGGCTCTTGAGAGCATTTTGTTTTTTATAAAGTTTACAAAATTATTGAGTTTATTCTTTTTTTTTTTTTAGTTTTCATGGCAGTTATGGTTATAATAGTGAAGATGAGATGAGTCCACTTTACCCTCTGGATAGTTCCTTGTTGAGGTAAAATAATAGAATTATTTTATTGATCATATGTTAATAAATTTTCTGTTCACTTGAGAATGTTGTGCAAACATAGTTGACATTGAATTATCAACCCATTATATATATTTATTTTATTGTTGTTTCACTGTTTTCGATATTGCACTGTGTTCGAATTTAACTGTTCCTGTTTATTACAGGCTTCAGCATAAGGAAAGGAGCTTTAGTATCAAGAATGTGTTTTTGAACGTTTTATTTACCAAATGAAGAATGTCTTGCATTGTCTTAAGAGTTAACATTTCATTCTTTCTAGCTGTCATACATTTTCCAATTTAAATTGATACAACACTTATCAGAGTTACCAGGCATTTAATTTTTCCTACACCTGATGTGTGTTTTGTCTATACAAGACTTATCAGTGATGCTCAAATCAAAATAATTGTAAGGCTAAATAAAAGCATTGAGGACCAAAAATTCAATAAGTTGTGCCAAAAACGGCTAAGGTAACCTGTGCCTTGAGGTAGAAAATCCTTAGTATTTATAATAATTCTATGTTTTTCAAACAGTAAATTTATAAAAAAAAAAAAAAAACATCATTGATATTTCATGCCAACACCAAAGTGTTGACTACTGGGCTGGTGATACCCTCAGAGCTGAAAACATTTCAGCAACCCCATGTAATAAATTTGGCATTTCTATATTTTATAAAACATGTTAATATTAGGTTATTTTATTGTTGAATAGTGAATCATCGTTTCTAACAGCTTTGGCCTCTGAGTTGATGGAGGTCCCAGACAAGGTAGTTGGTTTTTCTGCTCATGTTTTTTTGCTATAGATGGTAGATTTAACATGTGCATGGTATATTTTTCAGAAATAACAGCAAATTTGTTTTTCCTTTTTTTTCTAATTCATTTTCTTATAAATGTATGCAATGCATGAAGATAATCAAACACCATAGTTTCCCTACCTCACCGAAGTTGATAGCAGGTCTAGTAACCGATAGCTAAGCATGGTTTAATCTTAATTTAAACACCACTAGAAAATCATAAAAAGGCACACTTCATCAGAATGTTGAGATTTGCCTGCTTCATATTTACAGTTTATTGTATTGTTGTTTTACTTGAATTACTAAAACCTGTACATTACTGTCAAATCTTTAAGTGTAAAGCGAGCAAATGCTGGAAGGTCTTAATCAATGGACTAAAATTCTTAATGTGTCAGTTTTAAGATGAGTATTGAATGAATTCGAAGGAGTTGACCAAACATGATTTTACCACTACCAATGTTTTAAATAAACAATTTTTATAGGAACTGATTCTTTCATGAAGTACTCACGACTCCTTTTGTCGAGATGAGTGAAATATAGGCATTAGATGGCATTAAATGAATAGCTATTAAAAAATTATTTAACAATTACCATAATTAGGTCAACATGTGCATAAATAACAATACCATGGAATTCCTATCAAATTAATCAAATATTCTTGAGCCTGATTAATGATTGAAAAATCATTACTATCAAGTGAAACATGAACAGGATGACCAAAATTTACCAATTACTGAAAATTTATTAGTTGAAGACGTTTATCATGTTTAGGAAAAAAACTTCTAATTAATTATAGAAATGAGTTCATTGTTTTTCAGGATGGTTAGAAGTGGTGAAAAATACTCATGCATTTAAGATAGGTATGTATATTTTTCGATTCGAGCGTCACTGATGAGTCTTTAATAGACGAAACCCACGTCTGGCGTAATATAAATTATAAGCCTGGTACCTTTTCTATGTATTTGTAGCAGGAGTTGATTAGTATTATACCCTATATATTTCAAGTCTGAAATGTGAAAGTTTCAGTGGAATCTAATTTGCAAGAAAAGGGTAGTCTTACACACAATGTATAAAGGACATAATAAATGTTCGAACTAGAAAGGTATAAAAAATAAACTGGTGCAAAGCTGAAAAAGCATCTTTTATTCTTGGGCTACCAATTGTTTTTTGTGCCTTGCCCTTTACAGTAAAAGATAACTGCAATTTGATCTTTTCAGGTGATTTTTTACTAGTTGAATTCGACCTGGTGAAAAGCAGCAAGAAAAGAAAATACATAGCAGAGGCAAGTATTTTTGAGGATTTGTCCACTTCTACTAAAGAGTTCATATTTTTATGATGCGGTGTTCTGCATGATAAAATGTTATCTACTTAGAAAAGATGTTTTCCTGTTCTCATGTGTTAATAGAAATTAGAACTGAATTTTCTGAATATATGCTACTCTCAGAAGTCAGTTCACTTAAGAAATATGTTGATAATTCAAGAAAACACATGCTGGTCAATGCTTAATCGTACAGTAAACATGATTAACATGGTAAAGGCTTAACAATTGCAAGAAATATTTTCAATTTATATATAATGAGTTCTACACGTGTTACTTGTGACTGCTATGTCAATTTGCACGTGCAATTAATACTACATGTACTTTATATTTTATTCTTATTTTTTTAGATTTTAGAATTGGCAAAAGGGGAAGATGATGAACCCCTCTACAAAGTAAAATGCTTGAAGAGAGTAGAGGAAAATCTCTTTAATTGGCCAGAAATACCTGACATATGTAATATAGCAGAAACTAAGATTTTGAAGCAAATGGACCCTCCAGAAAAGGTACAGAAAAGGAGGTCCATAAAAATGTTTTTCCCAAACCTCAATGAAGAAACATGTTGACTTTATCAGTTTATTTTAGTCGTTTGTACCTTTTTAGTTATATAGCTTTTTTTGTCAATGTTCATGATGTGTAAGCAGGGTCGAATTTAAGCTTTTTATCAACAATTGTTTACTGGTCAGCCAGACCCATAGCTGACAAAATCTAGTCAGACAAAAATCTTTTTTGTCCTGTCCCAGTGTTAATTTTTACCCCTGTGTTTAGGTGATGTTGTTCAAAGAAAATATTATCCCAGGGTATTTTAATTTGCTGTATGAATATAAGGTAGGTTTTATGTCATTTGCAATGATTTGGGATGTAGGATAGTTAAGTGGGAGTGTTATTTCTCATTTTTAGAGAGAGAAAGTTGAAATATGTTGCTATACAATCTCAGGGTCCTTATCATGTTTATATGCTGTATGAATATGAAGAAGATTTTTATGTTATTATATTTTATTATCCATTTTTACAGTTATAAGTTCAAGTATTTTGTACTTAAGCAGAGAGTAGGTTAGTTTTTTTGACAGTTCAATTGTGAAAATATTTTCTATAAACAGATAAATGATATTGAAATTAAATAACTTTGTTTTGATCATGTTGTTTCAAACAAGATATACAATTCATTAAATCCACCAATGTCATGCAGCCCATGATGTTCTTAAAATTTTATATAACTCTGTTGAGTTACTTTTCTGGTAAATGGTTTTGTCTGTCCTATCAAGTAGCAGGTTAGAAAATTTTAGCCAACAATACAGTCCATTGAAATTATTTTAATCTTGTTTATACCATGTATACAGTCTTGGTTTATTTTAATGGTGCAATGACTGTAATGTGTTAGATGTTTTGTAAACTTTTAAAGTTATATAGTTATATTTTGTTAATGAATAAGTGATGCTGTTTATAGAAGTTGTTAATGGATAAGTGAAGATGTTAATAGAAAAGTTTAATCTCAACCTCTTTTTACTTGCGGTATGAATGTAACGTAGGTGTTATGTCATTTGTTATGATGTTGATATTTCACTTTAGCAGGTTTCTTTTTGAAACAAGTTTTGAAAATGTTACTTATACAATCTCCATGAAATCTAGGTTTTTATTTCGATGTTTTTTTTTTTATTGTAGTTATATGTATGACCAGGGTCTGTTTTATTGGTTGTATTAATGTAAAGTAGTGATTAATGTCATTTGTTATGATTTTGGCCCCTAGTTCACTGTTCTATGAGCATTGAACAAGTTTTGAATGTGTTGCTTATACAATCTGCATGATATCCATGTTTTTAGTACGATTTTACATATTTTTGTTGTAGTTTATATGTATGACCATTATGATATGCAAGTTTTATAGAATATGTTTCTTGTTTTTATACTTTTTAGATATAAACCTATTATGTTTGACTAGATAAGTGATTTTGTGTATAGAAAAGGTTTTAATGTCATTTGTTGTGGATGCAGAAAAGGGTGTGCATGGTTTCTTGCTACAATCTCAGTTTTTTAACACATCTTAATATTTTGAGGATCCTTTGATTTGCTGTATAAATCTAAAGTAGTGTTTTATGTCATTCGTTATGATTTTGGATGTAGGCAATGGTAGGATACTTAAGGGAGGGCTTTGTTTCTGGTTTTGTGAAAGTTAAAATATGTTGTGATACATCTCAGGGTCTTTTAAAAAACTGTTGAAATGTGAGTAGTGTTTTCTGTTATAACATTTGTTTTTCCTTTTAACAATTTCAGGTCAGGATTTTTTGTTATTGAGCAAAATCTCTGATTTGATTTCAAACAATTTTCAATTCTCTCTCATTTTTAAAAACTATGAATAAGAACTTTAATTTTTTATAAGTGTTTATTATGTCAAGATTTATCAGCCCTGAAATTATAAGACACATTGAACAACCCATTATTAGGTTGCTGCCACTAATTTGGTAATTTGGTAATTTTTCAGTTTTTGGTTATTATCTTGAATATTATAATAGATAGAGATACACTGTTAGGGCAAAAATGTTAAGCAATGTAAGACCTACAAATAACGTAAATGACCAAAATTGTCAATAGACCCCTTAAAGACTTATTGCCCTTTAATGACAATTTTCAGAATTTTATCCTCATGTTTGCTGCCCACTTAAATAAAAATCTTCTGAAACTACCAAAACAAAATCAATCAAACTTAAGCTGAATAATTCTAAAGGGTAACTAGTATAACGTTTGTGTTTTATTTTCTGTTACCTCAGGAAACATGGCCCCCATGGCTAAGAATAGAACATAGCATTTCATTATTGATGAAAGATTTAAGCAAAAAATTACAGGTGAGCGATTCAGGTTCTTGAGAGCCTCTTGTTCTTTTATA